ATATATTTATTCTCGATTTGTACTTAAGGTTCAGTTGCAAAGAGAACTTTCTCATTTCTGCAAGAGAAATCTGATAAACATTATGTGTATGTTATTTTGTCCAGATAAGGGTTTATTGATAAGAGGAGGCATGGGATCAAGAGATCTACCTTACAGTTTCCTATCATACTGACTTAATTGTTAAAAAACTAATTGCAGTAGAGAACGCTTCAGAGTTTTTCATTGATTTCTGATGGCTTTCTGGTGACATTTTTTCAAATGCCATTTAAAAATGCAAAAAGGTACGGGGTCCGTGAGTGGATGTGAAATTAAATACTATTTAATTTCACTAAGCTCGATTAGCTTTTAAGTTATTCTGCGTGAATTTACCCAATTTTCTGTTCTATTTATCTTTTCTTGTAACCAAGAGTTTTTCTATTTGGGTGATAAAGTTTGTTGTTGTTGTTGTTTTTGTCGTTGCGTTGTTGACAGTTGACACCTCTGCCTCCCACAGTATTTGCAATTTGATTTGCTAGCTTGCACGACAGCCATCTGGAAATTATCAAAATGTTTTCAAAATGTCGTCAAAAGCTAATCAGAAACTTTGTCAAGTAGTAACACTACACAAATGTAAAATAGGGACAAATTTACCCTTTTCTCCCGCTTTGTGCTTCTGAAAAACCCTTTCGTCCCGTCTTTTGCGTTCTTACGACCTCCTCTCCCTACTCACTTTGTCGATCCGAGCCCGCCCCATCCCTCATCACGTGATAAAGGTCTGCGTAGTTAATCAAAAAGCAAGTTGAGACTGAATGCTTTAATGGCTTTCGCTCAAATGCGCTTATTTCTTAATAGCAGATTTCTCTAACGGTCACCTATACCTATGCAGGATAGAAAAATTCGATTTTCTGAAACTTTGTCAGGAAGAAGGTTTTTACAAACTTATTTCAAAACTGTACCTTTGAGGTTCTTTGGATTTTTATTTTCTTGTGGAGACGGCCTTACGTATTTTGCCCCGAAAAGAGCAAAACTTGACCCCA